CCAATTGACCTATCGGTAAGTCCCGCCCCCCTTAGTTACTGTTGCTCACTCGGACAAACAAACGGAGCTGCTCACGGTCTTACAATGACAGCTGTCAGTGAAAACCTTCTTCTGAGGTGTTTCTGATCAATTTGGGACACAGATGGACCTTCAAGAGAGACTTAAATATGCCATGGAGAGATATATAAAAGATATTAAAATAAATATGTAAAAATACAGATCACAATGCAAACGGGAGGATTATATTACGGTCGCCACGATCGCACTGACAACATCCCGGATCGACACCGTTCATATACCGCAGTGTAAGATTAAATTAATTTACATTTAACCAGATTAATATGGAGAGGCACTCTAATATAGACCTTCGTTTATGTGTTTTTGACTTTCACTACACGGTACACGACGTGAGAACAGTTCGCTATTTAGGTTTGTACATTAGCATGGACTCACTAACTTTAACGCTAACGTTAGCTAGTTTGAGCCAGATATACCCAGTGGTGTATAAAGTACTTGAAAGCCACACTTAAGTAAAAGTAAAGATATCTTACCAGAAAATGACTTTGGTAGAAGTTGAAGTAACCGTTTAGAATATTACTTGAGCAAAAGTCTTAAAGTATGTGATATTTATTGTACGAAAAGCGAGGGATATATAAAAGATATTAAAATAAATATGTAAAAATACAGATCACAATGCAAACGGGAGGATTATATTACGGTCGCCACGATCGCACTGACAACATCCCGGATCGACACCGTTCATATACCGCAGTGTAAGATTAAATTAATTTACATTTAACCAGATTAATATGGAGAGGCACTCTAATATAGACCTTCGTTTATGTGTTTTTGACTTTCACTACACGGTACACGACGTGAGAACAGTTCGCTATTTAGGTTTGTACATTAGCATGGACTCACTAACTTTAACGCTAACGTTAGCTAGTTTGAGCCAGATATACCCAGTGGTGTATAAAGTACTTGAAAGCCACACTTAAGTAAAAGTAAAGATATCTTACCAGAAAATGACTTTGGTAGAAGTTGAAGTAACCGTTTAGAATATTACTTGAGCAAAAGTATGTGATATTTATTGTCCTTAAGTACGAAAAGTATTTTTAAAATCTTAAACGCACTTAAGTATTGAAAGTAAAAGTACAAGTAAATGCAAAATGGAAAAGCAGCAAATAAATAAAATATATTTCATTTTGTATTTTTGGGTAAGAATAAGAAGCACTTCATCTGGTACTTAAGTGTCTTTCGTTACATAAGAAAACATTTCTGGAATCCGCATCTGAAATAGCATTTAGATGTATTCACAAAGTTTAATGCATCTCAGAGGGGACATGGATGCATTTAAACTGCAGTTACAGATGCATAAATAATGTTTAAAACGTTGAATACTGATATTTGAAATGATTTAAAAACATTAAAAAATAGTCAATGTGAATTTAAAAACATGAAAATAGTCAAATGTGAAATTAAAACCACCAGTAGGTGACAGCAAGTGACTGTTAATGAGTGAGTCATTGAGATTCAACCGATTCATTCAAACG